TTATATCAAGTATTAAACTTTCTTGCATGCTTGTTTTTCATGATTTATTAAGTCGATTACTATCATGCGCAGTTAGTTTATTGATTGATGTAATCTAAAGCTAGATCAAATATTGAACCCGTAATTGTTCGGTCCCTTTTGATTTTTTATAGTAACTAGGAGTGTATGATTTGTCTGTGTTAGAAACTAATGATCTTATGAATATTGTTTAACTAGATTAAATGCACTACATGTGTTGTATTGTCTTATTTTATTGATCTTTCTCATACATAAAGCTATTGTTTGATAGCTATTGTTTGATTAAATCTTAGATTGTATCTAGGATTGTTAAATAATAAGGATTAACTAGAATACATGTTTTTAGTTGGCTAATCGTAAGGAAAGACTAATTTTAATATCACAATAGATATTTGAATGATAAATTGATATTTTTGCACACCGGGGATAAATTTTAAGTTCCAAAAGCCGATGTGACTCGAACCAAGGTCTGTTTATTTGAATATTTATCATTATATTCATTTTCTAAATTTAATTTGTTTATTTTTTTATTATATCTCAATCGAATCCAAAAAACACCCCTCTTTGTTTTAGTTTCTTCTTTATGTGTAACGACTAACATGATAGAACTCTTCATGAGATCGATCCCTACTCTCCTTTACTATATTTATGTTACATGAGTTTAGAAGTTTAATTTGGGTGTACGCGACAAGCATTATCATGGATCTTCCGGTGCAAGCAGCAGTGGTGTAAGCGATAATAATAGTAACAAAGGAGGCAACTATCCTCTATGTCAACATTGTGGCAAAACAAACCATCTTTTCACTATCTCGTTGGAGTAAACCTAATGCAAAATGCAACAAATGAAGCATAAGAAAAAAATTTATAAGAAAAAGGGAGACAACGGACAAAAAAGGTTCAAGTTGTGAATCAACAAGAGGAGGAGGAGTTATTTATAGCTTTTTACTATTCAATAATCAATAAAAGAGAGATTTGGCTAATGGATAATGGATGAATAATCACATGATCAATAATGATGAACTCTTCAAGTAGCTAGATGTTGCTCTATCGTAAAGGTAAGAGTTGGGAATAAAGAGTTTATATTTGTCAAAGATAAAGGTTCTATTATAATTGAAACTACTATTGGTGTTAAAGTGATTTCGAAGTGTTATATGTTCCGGAGATTGATTAGAATATTTTAATTGTTGGTCAATTAATTGAAAAAGGTTTTAACATGTTTTTTGAAGATAGAACTTATGTGTTCAAGGATGCGAGAGGGGCCATAAGTGTTTTCCATCAAGATGAAGTGAAAGTACTTCTCACTTGACTTGATGGATAAGGAGTAGGTCGCATACCAAGTTTCTATGGAAGTTACTAATCTCTAGCATAAGAGATTAGGACATTTTCATCATGCTGCAATCTTATTGATATAAAAGCATGCAATGACACAGGGCTTGGATCCATTGAAGGATAGCTTGTCAAGTTGCAAAGCCTATTAGTATAGCAAGTAACACGAGTCGTCCTTTCCACAAAAGGCTTGGAGCACCTCAAGCAAGCTTCGACTGGTGCATACCGATCTTGGAGGACCTTATAGAATACAATCTCTCAAAGGTAGTAAGTACTACATTGCCTTTATAGATGATCCGACAAGAATGAGTTGGATTTACTTTCTCGAGTTCAAATCGAAGTGGCAAACGTGTTCTAGAGGTTCAAATCCTGGATGAAAAACCAAATTGGTTGGAAAATGATGATCATAAGGCCTAGCAATAGGAAGGAGTATACTTCATACCGGTTCAAAAAATTATGTGAGGAGGCAAGAATAGAGTATCAGCTCACTACACCATATACACCTCAACGGAATGGTGTCAATGAGAGGAAAAATAGAACCATCATAGAGATGTCTTGTTGTTTACTACATGAGAAGGATCTTCCTAAAACCTTTTGGTTAGAGGCTATAAATACTATTGTTTTTTGTTGAATAGATTGCCTACTAGAGTACTCAACAACATGACTCCCTATAAAGGTTGGTTTAGTCATAAACCTTCTCTCGTCAAATTTCAAAGTTTTTGGAAGTCTATGTTTCTCTTACATTCGCAAGTTAAGAAGGACAAATTAAACAAGAAATCTAACTCTAGAATCTTCATAGGCTATAGTAGCATCTCAAAAGCCTATAGAATTTACCAACCTCGATTAAAAAGATTATCATCGAGTAGAGATGTTATGTTTATGAGGATGAGCGAGTGGAAGTAGAATGCAAGAGGAGCACATTAGCATTCTAATAGACTATAGCCTAGTGAAGATGATGTTGATGGGTGGTAGCCATGTAATAACCTCGATTGGAAAAAAAACAGAGTTAGTATTGCCCTCTTTTTCCGAAATTTCTTTCCCTTTTCTCCTCTCCTCTTCACATCATTTCTCTTTCAAACATTTTTTCCAATTCTCTCCTTCAAATACTAAGTTAATTCACCGATAAAATTAGCTTAGGAAAACCTTAAACTAGTTGACTAAGTGGAGCTTAGCTAACTTGAAGCTTGGAAAGCTAGAGAACTAGAAACAAATTAGGGATTGAAAGACAAGTCATCAAAAATAAGATTTTTAATCAATTGATCTTTGAATTATGAAGTTTATGTGTAATTAATGATGATATTGAAATGGAATTGCTTTGGGTTATTGATTCCTTGAAGAATTAATTAGATTAAGGTTAGGGATTTTGAGACCCACTTAGGAAAAAATTTAAGTAAGTGATTCTAGGTGTTTGAATAATGTTTAATTATCTTGGATAAGTGGTTTAAGAAATTAATTTGAAGTGAATTGAGTAAATTTGAGTAATTAAGAGATTGAAAATGATGAATAATGAAAAATTCAAAATTTAGGTTTTAATTGAAAAGAACTTGGGAAAAATGAGGAATTAAGTTATATAAATGCAATTAGAAATGAATAGAATGAGAATTGAGTAAATTAGATCGGAGTCGATGATTGAGTTAAGGATTGATTGATTAAAGGTCTGAATTGAAAATTTATGATTGAATTAAGAATTATGATGATATGTGGTTGGGCAATTTTTTAGAATTGTTGGAGAGAATATAGAGTCTAGTTAAGGTTATTGGATCGTGTCCTTCTAATCAATTCCATTTCGTTGATAATCTAGTATTCTTGTTTTTTGAATAATTCAATTGTTTTTGAACCATTCTTCCATAGACGATATTGATGGTTGTTCCATCATCTTGTCTTGTTAGATCTTTTGGAGCGTGCGACTCCTTGACAACAATCTTGATCCGTTCAATCCATTCGATTCTTTGAATTGTACTCGTGAGTGAATATTATATAACATATCATGTTTTAAATTTCTTGAATTATGTCTATTATGCATCATCGATTTAAGTATGATTTAAAAGGTTTCATTAGAACTTAGATAGGAACAAACTCCATGAATATTTAAAATATTTTCGTCGAAATGATTGGATTTGAATTGAAAAGAGATTTGAATATGTGTTTGAGCATAAGTGTTATTTTAATTATTCGTACACATTTTGTACATACTTATTTGATATGAAATTGTACTATTAATGTGATTTAGAGCATGCATTGTATTTGAATCCCTAATTTGAAATATGTATAAGTATAAGCGATTTTCGAAAATGTTTTTAAGACTGCGAGGAACCTAGCTATAAGGGGCGTAGCCTTTGAGCTCAATGATACAAGGCTCCAGCTAGTAAGAGAGGTAGAGATTTGAATATGTATAATTATAATTTTATCTTCTTCTTTTTTCAATCGAGTACATAAATTTTAATTTTTTTCATTTGAGTACATCAATTTTTTCAAAACTCGTCAATCAAGTATTTTTATCATTTTCTTCATTAATTGATGATGTATTTGAATATAAAATTATAATTTTATCCTCTTTTGTTGAAAGAAAACTTCTTCCCATATTATTTTACTAATTTATAATTTGAAAAATTATTTAAAAAATTATTTTTCCACACTAAACTCAATTAGGTTGTTGTTACAAAAAAAAAAAAAAAAAAAAAAAAAAAAAAACTCGGTTAAGTTTAAAAGTAAAAATTGAAGAAAAACACAAATGAATCTTCTTGATGAAAGTTCTCATATTTGTGTTTCCTTCAATTCTCACGTCCAAAATCTAATTGATTTTTATTTTTTAAATAGCAAGCTTTCTAAGTTTGGTTCAAGATTTTATAACTAAAAATATTTTTTTTAATCATTTTTTAAATTTTAAAATGGTAGAATAATTTAAGGAGAAAGTTTCTTACAACAAAAGATGAAAAAAAAATTACTGTACTCAATATGAAAAAATTGAAGTTCATATACTCCATTAACAAAAAAAGGACAAAATTATAATTTGAAATTTTGAGAATAATTGATACGTCATCGGTTAACAAAGAAATTGATGAAAGTGTTTGATTGATATTTTTTAAAAAAATTAATGTATTCAAACGAAAAAAATTATATACTTGATTGAGAAAAAATTAAAAATTAGTATATTTATATTGTAATTATTCCATTTTAACGAGGGAGGAAAGACAATTCTAATTGGGTTAGAAATAATAAAAGGTGGGGTTGTTTTGGCCTTTTCATCTTTTTATATTTTTGTATTATTTTATTATTTAAATCAATTTTTTTTTTTTGGATGGGTTTACTCTTTTGTGAAATCCACAATGCTACTTATAATTACTAATAAATAAAGTTTAACAATAATGTACTATATCAAATTAAAAATAAATAATATCATAATAAATATTTTAAAAATAAAAAATAAAGAGTGTGAATAAAAAAATCAATAACCTTTCCATAAAAGATATTATTGCAAAGAACTATCATTTAAAAAAAAAAACCGAGAGGTGGGGATGGCACTATTTATCGACTGTTGACCTTTACACATTTAACTGTGGAAAGAGTATGTTGGCCACTGTGCTTCCATTCTAGTTTGTTCCTACATAAACTGACTGTTGACTTGAGTCAACTGAAGTAAAGCTGCAGGCAGAACCATGGCAGATCTAGTTCTTTCTGCCTTCATGCAGGTTGTATTCGAGCAACTAGCCTCCCCCTTGGTTGAAGAGTTTGGACTGATCCATGGAGTCAAAAAACAGCTCAAGAGACTTTCACGTATCCTCGTAAAGATCCGAGCAGTTATCAATGATGCAGAAGAAAGACAGATACAAGAAGAAGCAGTAAGAACGTGGCTCGAAGACCTCAAAGAAGTGGCCTACGATGCTGATGACATACTGGATGAGATGTCAAGTCAGGTACTCCTTTCACATTCGCAGGTACGAGGGTTCTTCTCTTCCTTGAGTCCCAACCATCTTCTTTTTCAAATTGATATTGCATCAAAGATTGATGAGGTTATTGAGAAGTTAGAGGATATAGCCAGGGAAAAAGAGGGTCTGTATCTAAAAGGAGGAGTTGTACCTGTAGCTACTCATCCTAAGGCTAGAGGGAGGAGGTCACAAACCAGTTCCTTGGTTGATGAACAATCTATATTTGGAAGAACAGATGATAGAGAGATGCTACTTTCTTTGGTGGTATGTGATGACATTAGTGAAAGGAGGGTATCTGTCATTCCCGTTGTTGGAATGGGAGGCTTGGGGAAGTCAACGCTTGTTCAGCTTGTTTACAATGATAAGAAGATTGAGAAGCATTTTGAGTTAAGAATGTGGGTTTGTGTGCTTGATGAATTTGATCCGAAGATGATTACAAAAGCAATCATAGAATCTGCAACTGGGACTAGGTGCGATCTCTTGGACATGGATCCAATGCAGCGTCGTCTTCAAGAGGTGATCAGGGAGAAGAAGTATTTGCTTGTATTGGATGATGTGTGGAATGAGAAGTATGAAGAATGGGATGTATTCAGGGTTCCTTTCAATGTTGGGGCCAATGGGAGTAAAATAATAGTGACTACCAGAAGTGAAGTAGTTTCATCACTTGTGGGTACAATCCCTCCCTATCATTTGAAGGGTTTATCAAATACCGATGGCTGGTCATTGTTTAAAAGTCGTGCCTTTCCATACTTGAGTTCAGATGTACCTCACAATTTGGTAAAAATCGGCAAGAGAATTGTGAACAAATGCCAGGGATTACCTTTAGCATTAAAGGCTCTGGCTGGTCTACTGAGCTTGATTACAGATGAAAATAAATGGGATGTTGTCTCAAAAAGTGAAATATGGGAGCTACCAGAAGACAAGATTAGTATTCTGCTGACATTAAGACTGAGTTATCAACGTTTGCCCAGTCATCTAAATCAGTGTTTCGGATATTGCTCAATCTTCCCAAGAGATCACATATACAACAAGCAAAGCTTAGTTCTGCTGTGGATGGCAGAAGGGTTTATTCAGCCCAGAGGAATAGAGCAGATGGAAGACATAGGAAGTGAGTATTTTGATGAGCTATTGTCCAGGTCATTCTTTTATTACTCTCACCTAGATCCTTTGGATGGTCAACCATGGTACAAAATGCATGGCCTTATTCATGATTTGTCACGATTTGTTACCCTCAGTGACTGTCTTACAGTAAACACCAACAACATCTGCTTCATGTCCAAGAAAATTCGTCATGTTTCTATTTTGTGTGATACTCTCCAGCCAGTTGATTTCGAAGCCACTAGTGAAGCTAGAAAACTAAGAAGTTTGTTTCTCTTGGGTGGATATCGATACAACATCAAGAAAATTCCCCATCAATTATTCCAGAAGCTGAAATTCTTGCGCTCGCTGAATTTAAGTCACACTTGCATAACTGAGTTGCCAAGTTCGATTGGAAACTTGATGCACTTGCGGTATCTTGACCTCTCTTGGAGCTGTATCCGAAGACTGCCTGAGTCTATTGGTGACCTATGCAATCTACAGACACTGAACTTAAGAAAATGCATCGAGCTTCACTGTTTGCCAGATAATATCAGCAGATTGATTAATCTGAGACATTTTGATGTTTCCTCTGGTACAGCTTTGCTAAAGATTCTCCCATTTTCTGATTGCCGGCTTCTGGACTTACCAAAATGCATCAAGAACCTCATCAATCTTCGTGATATTGATATTTCTATTGGGACGAGTTTTCAGAATATCCTTCCCTTCGCCGAAAATCAGTCTTGTTTTGATTTCCTCTCACGGATGGTCTCATCACCACCAGGAATGGGGCGGTTAACATGCCTCCAAACGTTATCCAATTTTGTTATCTCTAAAAGGAATGGATGCGGTGTGGAAGAGTTGAAGAATATGGTGGATCTCAGAGGGACACTTGGTATTTCAAAGCTTGAGAATGTAACTTCTGCGTCGAATGCCAAGGAGGCTGATCTGAAGAGCAAGCATCGTATTCACAAGTTGACGTTACAATGGAGTGAAGAAAGTCTCTACAGCACACAGAGTGAAGCATTCACTGAGCAGGTATTGGAATATCTTCAACCTCACAAAAATATCAGGGGCTTGAGGATTTCTAACTTTGGGGGTAGGATGTTACCAAGCTGGATGAATTGTGTTTCACTCTCAAATCTAGTCTCCATTTGTTTGTTCAATTTTCACAAGTGTGAAAGTCTTCCACGGCTCTGGCAGCTACCATCACTCAAAGATCTCAAAATCCATGGTTTTCATGGTTTGACACATATAGGCCATGATTTCTACGGGGATGGTGATGTTGTTGGATTCCGATATCTAGAAAAGCTTGAGATAAAGGATATGCCTAACTTGGAGCACTGGTCTGGAGTGAAACCTGGTGAAATCTCCTGCCTTAGTGAAATAACAATGTGGGATTGTCCAAAAATGAATGAGATGCCAGATCTCCCAAGCACACTTAAAGTTTTGGAAATAGCTAATTGTAAGGGAATTGAGTCTTTTCCCACGATCTATTCCATCCAGAACCTAGTACTTGGCCAGTGCAATGAGGTGATACTGAATTCATCTACCTGCTTCTCATTCTTATCCTCTTTGAATATTTCTGGCTTTTCCAAGCTGGAATACCTTCCTGATACTTTACTTCAACAACTAGCTTTGCTTAAAGAACTGAAAGTCAACGACTGTGATAAGCTCAGGTTGCTGACTCAAGAACAAAGCTTGTGGAAGCTCAGTTTGCTTCAACACCTGGAAATTTGCAACTGTCCACAACTTGTTTCGTTGAAAGATGAGGTGCTGCCCACTGCCATTCTGAAGTCTTTCCGGTTAGTGTCATGTCTAAACTTGACAGCACTACCAAAAGAAATGCAGAGCCTAATGGCCCTCCAGTTTCTAGAATTATGGAATTGTCCCCAAATTGTTTCGCTGTCCGAAAGCAAGATGCCAATGACCCTTCAACTTTTTTGGTTAAGAAATTGTCCCAATATGAAAGAAAGATGTCGAGAGGAAGGTGAAGATTGGCCAAAAATATGTCATATTCCCAACATAAGAATTGATTTGAGTTGGATTCAACAGAATTAAATACATCTCAGACAAGCAAATGTCACCAATTAAAGGAAGAGGTATGGAACCATGAATAGTCCTCCGTGGTTGTTGATTTCTTGTTCCTTATCTCATCCATTAAATTTTCATAATATCATTTTCAATACTTGATGGAATCTTTGTTTTTCTTTTCTTTATTTCAGGTTCAGTCTGTCCTTCATCCCACCACAAGTCAGTAGAGCATGGTCGCGCAGAGAATAACGAAGGATTCTAGCTTGAGGACTAAGTGCAATACTAGGCAGTCGACAAGATAAACAGCAATGTTACTCTTTTTTTGGTACCTTATCAGTTTGCTAACTATGAACTGCAACTAAATCGATTCCAATTTTCAGAAAATCCGAAAGATTTAATTGCTAATATTTACAATTAGACATGCAAGTAGACAAAACTAGTTTTTTATTTCACAATTCACATGTTTTTTAGATTTGCCACTCTTGTATTGGTCTTCAGTACATTGTTCTACCCCTTAGCTCACCAACCACAGAGTCAACTTTTCTCCCCATGTGAGAAACATGCTTACTTTGAGGCATCATAAAATTTGTTAGTATTTTTCTCTCTTTTAATAAACTGGATAAACAAAGAGCAGCATGGACGCACACCTACCGGAGTTGTTTATACTTTTGCAATTCCATCCTTTTATCACTTCATAATTTCGTGTGTGTGTATATATATATATATATATATATATATGTTTCATAAGAATATCACGGTTTCGTCTTCAGAATGGATGCTGTGCCTGTGAAAGTCTTGGCAGCACTATTCAGAACAGCATCAGGGTCATAGTTTTAAATAACGACCATTATGTTATATAATGACTGATATGTAATGGTCTCGGAGTATGTTGTTATCGTTATTTTAATATTATAATAAGTTGTAATCCTCAATAACGATCACGATCATTTTTTCAACCGTTCGCGATTTAAAACTATGATCAGGGCTACCATTCCATGCTAGTGAATCCCATAACCTAAATGGAGCGATGCAGTTCATGGAAGACGCATGAGTTGGTGGATACCAAGAGGACTATATGCAAATTGTGTGAGATCACAACTGAGAAAAGGAATATTCAAGCTTCGGAAGCGAGGAGGTTCCTAGAAAAGACCTCCTGCATCCTGCTATTCTGCATGCACATTTGGTTTCTCATCTGCAGGACAAGATGAGATGGTATCTGAACCTGATGGAAAAGTATTCACAGGCAATAACTTTGACGGTTCCTTGTTGCTCTTGCAGCTTTGTGTTATCTGTAACATCATCACAAGAGGAGTTGATGGCATCATTTGTAAGATAAAGTTGTCATGTTTGTGTCTCATATATATAGATATTGCCCCACAATAAAGAATATCCAATAATAAGCCTTATAATACAAGTATAAACATGAAAAGATCCTCATCAAACATCCTCCGTATGCTTCTTTATATTTTTGGAACCACTCATGTTTTTAGTCTCTTTCAGTATATATTTTTATTTTTTTCCCTAGAACTTAGAGATTTCTTTTAATAGGATTTCTTATAATTTTTTTAACAGTTAGACACAATTATTAGGTTTTTAAACTGATCTAGGGATGCCACGCCACATATGATAATGTCATTTTTTTTTACCTTTTTTATTAAGCATTTAGTAATGGCTAGCATTTTTTTTACGTATGATAAAATATATGTTCTGTAATTGAGTTTAAATATATATTTTTATTTTGATAAAGAAAAAAATAAAATTATTTATTTATTTTTTAGAAAAAAATAATTAAAAGAAGGTGCTTAATCAATTTATATTAGAATAATATTTAATTCTAGTTAAGGAGTCTTTACCAAAAAAAAATAATAATAATAACTATTATTTATAGAAAAAAATTATTTTGAACGAATAATAAATAATGAAAAAATAAAAACATAAAAAAGAGAGAGAAAAAAAAAGGGGTGAGTTGGGCTGATACTAATCCCTTCTGTATGGGCTTGGAAAAAACTAGGCCCACATGTCTAGGCTGGAAGCTCAGCCCAGCTAAAAAATACAGGAACCTTTTTGAAACAGTGATTAAAGTTAAGGACTATTTTGTATAAAATAATATCTTGAAAGATCAAAGTATAAAAAAGGATAAATTGTCCAAAATATCACTTTTTAATATAAAAAAAAAAAAATCAGTTAAAAAAAACTCTATTTTGATTTCACTATAACAGGATTTAGTTATAGTAAAACATCATTCACTTTTAGTATATTTATTAATATTTTTTAGATTTATAATAAACTACACACATATAAATAGTGATCGACTAAACAATAATTTTAAATGTAATACAAATTATCTTCTTTAGCAACTACACATCATTTAGCCCAAACTCGACGTCCAAATTCTTCCACACTAGATAAAAACATATTCTTATATATTAAAATAAACCAATTATATTCTTATTATTTAAAAAAATTCCTAATATGTCATTTCAGTTAATTTTTTCAATCAAACTACCGAAAAATATCACATAACCTACACATTATTTGTTTTTGTGACAAAAATACCCCTTAAATCTGAACACGTTAAGTTTCAATCTAATCTCATATAATGAGTTAAGTTTTCAATCTATCATTAATGCTAAAAAAATCTATTATATTATCATTAATAATTATTCTAATAATATACTATATTATAGTGAATTTTTTGTTAATTAAAAATATATAATGTCATTTAACATATTTTTAATGCTAAAAAATCTATTATATTAATGTCATTCTATTAATCCATTTAAGTATAATATTAAATAAATTAATATATTTTTATATATTAAATTATCTCTATAAAAACAGCAAATAAGTCTTGCCCTCTGTCCATCCGTAGATTGCAGTCAAAGTCTGCTCAAATATGAACAGATACAATCATCTTAATCAAACAAGTGATAATAAACGTGCAAGGGAATACAAATGCAGGCTAGAAAAGCTTGATGCACTCGGAAAATCTTTTTAATATTTATAGTTGAAGAAGGAATTCAGTACAGAACAATAGGGGGAACACAAAAAAAAAAAAAAAAAAAAGGACAGCAAGTATACATATATGTATAATATAAACTACAAACAATGACAGGCCAAGGCACTAGGCCAGGAGGAACCACTATCTGCAACCCTTCAAAAGATAGGAAGAGGGACTTGAAAAGCTTATGGCAGTTGAAGATTTCCCATTTTCTGTTCTCTTCCCAGGTGTTCCACATTCACTAAAGTCAAGGGTACGGCATTCGGTCTGCAAGAGTTCCAAGCAATCTTTTTAGCTGACATCTCAATATTCACAGGGCAGAAAAAATAAAGTGAAAATATACTAGGATGAATTTTGGCAACTAAACAGTGTGGTGACAAATAAAAATGTTCTGTGAAAGTTCTGCACAATCAGTCATACCGAAACATTTGGAACTAAATTGGAGCGATTCTCTTGTTCACAATTGGGATCATTGGAGCGCCTCCTTTCTTTTAATATGGACTCCGGAGTGTCTTTACCCAAAACTTCCAAGGCATCGGCATATGCTGAGGCAGTGTGCTCACTTAGCTGTTTCATTAATGCAATGGCATCATAGCTTCTGTCCCCAGGACTCATAAAATAACCAATATCCTGATACGAAATTCCAGTTAGTTAAAAAGAAATATCTCTAAACATATCTGGTAATTAACTTATCAAAGAAAGTTATCTACCTCGATGGATATTTCCGTATCAATCCTCGGGCCTGGCACAAAAGAATTAATGAACCAAGGTGACTTCCATGCCGATGGGGATTCAATACTCCTTTTGAAAGGAGTATCACCAAACCTAGAAAAATAAACCCCATCAACCAAGCATCTAATAAGAATCATGGTAATGCCAAAACAAGAAGTAGCATATATCTAACTCATCACAGATGAAGCTAGAAATTGCCTGGAAATGCTAAGTTCCAACCCAAACATAAACTACCATCTGCTCCCATAAATAAAAATGAGACAGGAATATTTGACATGGCAGCATCTTTACTCAACCACTAAACAAACAGTGTGGTGACAAGGATCATAAAAGAAATACAGGTCAAACTTACATGCAAAAATTTTCAGTGCCAGCACTGTGCCCAGAATTATCAGGCATATTCTCCGAGGGGGCTGATGTACTTTCAATTACGTGACTTCCATGATTCTTCTTACAAACAGTAGGGCTAATAATTATGCATGGATTTCCAGATGTGGATTCTGAAGCACTGGCTTGATCTGATAAAGTGCCCAAAATTTTACGGTACAAATTTCTGGGAGTTCGAGCACTGGGACCAAAAGCTCTGTCTGATTTAAAACCAAGTTGATCAGGAGAAAACAACAGATCATTGGTGTTTTCTTCAGCCAGAAGTTCAGAAGACTGAGGCACCTACAAAAAGGAGGGAGGGAAAGACAAATATATTAAAAAAAAAATGACGCTAAGATAGAAGCTAGGGGAATTTTTTATTTTTTAAGAAAATAGGGGAAGGAAAACAAATAAGAAAAACACATATATATACAGACTGCAAATTTTATTTTTCTTTCTTCTTTACAAAACAAATAGTATAAAATTTTAGATAATGTGCAAGCAGAACCAAACCAAACCAACCGCTCCCCACCCACATTAACACCCAAAGACAAAAACAAAAAAGTAACTGAAGAGAAGATAACAGAAAAAAGAGAGAAGAAAAAAAAAACAAAAGAACTCACAGTTTGAGCACTAGCATCGAGATGAACCTTGGACCTCTCATCACTATCACCTATCCCTTGCTTTACGTTGTCCTTGGAATTACCACTATTTTCTTCTGCAGCTTCACAAGCAGGGTCCAGATTTTCTTTATCTTCACCTGAGGACTCATGGTTCTTTTCCCGATTGGATGACGGAGACAGCAGAGATGATCTGTTGTGAGTCACAGTCTCGTCAAGCATAACATCTAAACGTGAAAAATCTTTGCTCAAATTGGATGCCGCCATGTCAATCTCAAGCTTTTTGTCACCTCTTCTCTCTGACAAGGGTGACAATAAATCACGGTTTCGTTTCTTCAGAATGGATGGTGTGCCTGTGAAAGTCTTGGCAGCACTTTTCAGAACAGCATCAGGGCTACCATCCCGAGATGGTGAATCCCATAACCTAAATGGGGTGATGCAGTTCATGGAAGACATCATCAGTTGGCGTATACCAAGAGGACTATACTCTTGTTGCATATCACTGCCAGATTGTACGAGATCACAACTCAAAAAAGGCATATCCAAGCTTGGGAAGCGAGGAGGTTCATAGCAAAGACCTCCTGCATCCTGCTGTTCTGCATGCACATTTGGTTTCTCGCCTGCAGGACAAGATGATATGGTATCTGAACCTGAAGGAAAGGTGTCCACAGGCACTAATTTTGACGGTTCCTTCAGATAAGGTTGCTCTTGAAGCTCTGTGTGATCTGTACCATCATCACAAGAGGAGTTGATGGCACCATTGGTATAGATAAAGCTGTCATGTACGCTTGTGATAAACTGTTGTTCGTGAGTTCCATATGATTGGGCCATTAATTGATTGGGTTCCCTACCATATACAAGTGTACTATCATCAGCAGAATGGAGGGAAGGACCAGGTAGAAATGATTGACTGCATGAAGCTCCCAAAATAGCAGACCTCGGAGGACAATATGACTGTGAAGCCCTTCTCTCAGTTTCAGATATCTGGATGTTTGATGATTGAGGAAGTGAGGAATCCCTCGGAGGACAATATGATTGTGAAGCACTTCTCTCTGTTTCAGATATCTGGATGTTAGATGATTGAGGAAGTGAAGAATCCATGTCACCACCTAGGTCAACCACATTTGAGTCTTTTGTAATGCTTCCGCAGGAAAAAATTCCACCATTTGCTGCCTCTGAAAAAAGAAACCTGCAACATTCATCATCAGATATGAATATCTGGTCTGATTGCGCAGAACTTGCAGTGATATTTCCCATGGAAGTAGGAGCTCTCGGGCCCACAGAAGTTTGAAATGGGACATTCACCAGTTCATGGCTTTCATTAGCATTTATGCAATGAGTTGGCAATACTGATGATTCCTGCCTCAGTTCTAGTGAGGATATGTTGGGTAGCTCCTGTAATTCAAATTGATAATCACTGCTTGCAGAAGTCAAATTGTTATGAGAGAAATTTTGCTGGAGAAAGTTGGAAGAGCCACCCATTTCACAAGGCATTTCAGGGATGTAATATTGTTCTGAACAAGATGCTGGACTGGAGCTTTGCTCCTTTCTGAGACCAGATTCTTCAGTAAACTGAAATTCTTCTCTTGTATGAAAAACTGCATTACCCAGGTCACTCGCAGACTGTGAGCAACCAACAATACTTGACTCTTGACTGCATTCTGATATATCTTCTGCTTCTGTTCCACCTCTCTGAGCATTATCATCTCCAGAACTATGCAGCCTTGAGGAAGATGAGGGCAAGGGTAGAGTTTGATGTCCCACAAGCGGAACGGCTTGGAACTGTTCTAACAGACCTGATGCCATGTAAGACTCCAGTTTCTTCTTTACAGAACTGTTCCAGTGATTTTTTATGGAATTGTCTGTCCTGTTCACCATACAACGTAAATCAATTCACATTTATTAAAGGTCACTTTTAACAACAATGTTAAACTTTTAATTACAGAAGTAGAGATGTAAACTAAACAAGCAAGCAGATGGAAATGACATACATCAGAGGAGATGACTTAAAAGCTTGTTAATTCAAGCATATAAGTAACTAAAGAGCTAAAACACCTCCAGATAAAGTTAAAATACGAAATCAGGAGTCTCTTCAAATAAGGAAAGCACAAACCTTCCAGGCAAGAACTTTGTAAGCTCTGCCCATCTGTTCCCATAAATCTGATGTGCACGAATCAAGGCCAGCTCCTCTTGCTGTGTCCATGCCTCTTTGTTTATTGCAGGATTAAGATGATTATGCCACCTAAATTATGTGTATGTCAGTGCAAATGAAGCAATATACAGGAAAAATTTAAACCATATAACAAGATTATATATTAAAAGAGCAAATAATTGCAACTATTGCAAAAGGCAGAAGAATACAGCTTCTAACTAGCTCCATACTCTAACCTTTCTCGGCACTGCTTTCCAATACGTCCAGGTAAATGCTGTGCAATTGTGGACCACTTCTTTGGCCCATATTTGTTCACCAATTCAATTATAATTTCATCCTCCTGTTTACATTTCAACAAACGAAACAGGTACACTAGGTATCATGAAAATCCATCTTAAAGGTACACTAGGCATCATGAAAATGCATCTTAAAGGTAGAAACTAGCAAGAAAAAAAAGGAGCCAAAGCAGAAATTGACATAGACAGAAATAACCATATGGTATACCTCCTTCGACCATGGACCTTTAACAAGTTCAGGATTCAAGACCTTCTGCCACCTATGCAGACATTGTACATCAGTCCTGTCCTTGAAACACTCAGCTACATAAAGTCCAATAATACAAATTAGAAGATATTTGCTATGTATCACAAACACAAATGAGGAAGAGCATGTATGACCAGCTAAAAATTGGCTGAGGTGGTTTTATCACATGCAACAAAGACCTAGGAAAGATAGTAAAAAGAGAATGGCTCCAGTGAAATAAGGTCAGGCAATGCCTCATAGATATGGCCCTAGAGATTCTCATTGCTCATATATGACACTATCGGTCCATTTACAGCGTTGTTCAACATAAATCAATTCAATACCATCAACTTCATCACAATAACATTTTCTCCCTGGCATTCCGAAACTTACAAAAGAAACAACTTGGCAATAAAATTTTAAGAAAACAGCAGTAAGGACAAGCATGTTACATGACAATTTCAGGCAATAAAGAGTTATATGTCAATAAAATGAGCATTGCTGAAATGAAAATGTTATGATGGAAGTGGTGATGCTAAAAGTAACAAATAAACATCTTGAAAAAGGTCCATATTACCAACTTATGTAAAATTGATGGAATATTTGAAAGATGTCACTGTATTTGAAAAGAAAGGTTGAAAATGGTAGAAGGTCCACCGAAAATACTTGGCTTAAGGTAATAATTATATGAAAGGATTTAATTTTTAGGCGTTTCACTTTAAAATTTGGCTCAAGAAAGGGCAAAATGAAGGCAATTTTCATGTAACAAATGTATAAAGGTTTAAGAATGAGGCTTCGTTGAGTTGGAAATTCCAACACTTCCTAACAGAAACACTGTATTTAAAAGCAAGCATAAAAGTAAAAGTAAATTTAAGTTAAAAAAATTTCTACAATAGTTCCAAAGTCCAAAATTAAATTCTCTAGAGAAACTATAGTTAGTGGAGAAGGTACTTTTTAAGTAGCTAAAGCCTGTTTTTAGTGATCTATTATCAAAACTAAAACTTGATAGGTTGACGTGCATCCTCTGCATCTTATCCTTAAAATTTCGTATTGGTTCTCAACCTATTAAAGGCATGTAGAATCCTTTTAAACCATGACCACCCATGGGAAATGATAATAATAATAATAATAATTGGAGAACATCTATAAAAATAAAAGCATACAATGTGAATGTACAGTGCAACTAACAACCTCCTAGGCTATGTTTGTTTGGGGGAAAACAAATTCCATAGGAAAACCAATACTTGAGGAAGCTATTTTCCTGGAAATTGTTTTCCAAGAACATATTTTCTACTTGTTTGGCAATTATATGAAAAAACTCGCTGGAAAATATATTCCAACATTTGTTTGATACAAAAAATTAAAATACAAAAACTTATGTGATTGTTATATCAACAAGTTTTGAGAAAATTTTTTAAAAAAATATTCATAATATAAAATATATTTAAAAAAATTTAATAAATTTTCATCAATACTAACTCTAAAATTTTAATTCAAAAAATAAAATGTACTTTTTTAACAATCAAACCAAATCATCAAAATTATTTAGGACAAAATTAAGTCAATATTCATATTTAGTAAAAAAAGATTCTAAGTAATTCTAGCTCGATTATTTTAATAACTCAATTAAGAATTTTTTTTAAAAAAAAAGAAATTTAATCGATAATTTAGTCTAAAAAATAATTTTATAAATTATTTGTTATCATCTATAGATAATTATTTATTTGATCTCAAAAGATTAATGTTGGAATAATTTGTAACTAATTATTCATTACAATTACCAACAAAATTTTACAATTGATTAAAATTACAAATTATTGATTTAATTGCAAATGAATAGTGTTGAAAAAATAATGTATTTATTGATGAGTTAATTAATTTTAATTTCTTTTTTACAAAAAATAATAGTCTTGTAATAATTATTTTCAATCATTTAACTATAGCTTAGGTAATGATTGAGACAATAGTAAAAAAAGAGATAAGTTATTGAAATATTTATTATAAAAATAATTTTAAGGTATAAAAATGGTTTTTAAGAATATTTAATGTATCTATAAATAAAAAAAAATCAAATATTAGTAAAGATAGAGAAAAAATAATTAAATAATTAATAATAATTGATAAGAAATAATTAAAAATTAATATGATATATTTTAAATAAAAAGAAGATAGAGAAAAAAATTGTTAAAATATATCGAGAGAGAGTTATATAACAAGAGAGCGAGACAGACTCGTGAGAAGGAAATTTTTTCCTCTTTTGAAACTCGGAAAACATTTTTTCAAAATTACTCTATCATTTTTCGTTGATTGGAAATCATTTTCCATGAACTTTTTTCTTGAATGTGAAACAAACACTGAAAAATGAGGAAAACAAGTACTAAGAACTTGTTTTCCCCCTAAACAAACGCAGCCGTAATGTAAAAACTGGAAAGAAGTGAAGCCCAAGAGAAAGCACAGAGTTTAACAACTTCCAAAGGAAAATATAGTAACATGAGAAACTTAATAAAAGAAAAGGAACACAATTAAACTTATAAGTTCACAACAGTACCAATTTTTTTCCAGTTCTTTCCTTTGAAACGCTGAACAGCCTTGCGCAGAATCTCATCCTAAACACATGTAACACTTTCTCATTACTATATATAACCAGATATAGCTGAAATTGGGGAAGTATTAATCCTAATGATGAAGGGGGGGGGTGTGGTGGGTTGGGAACAGAAATTAGTGAAAAGGAAACTTATGCATGATGGGAACAAGTAAACAATAAACCATATGCATCACCATGAGATTTCATTTCAGAAATGAAAAAGTAGTGAAATCAAAATGGGCAAGGTTGCTCTATAACTAATCCAATCACTAGACAAATAACACAACAAGCTCCCTATTAAACATCTCCACCGGCATAAAATTACTCTTCTACCTAAATACTTCAAGTAAAAAGAAGACCTACTAAACATGATAGAATTATCAATTACCTCTTCAGCTGTCCATTGACCCTTTGTGGAACGTCTTGCAGGGCCACTAGTCCTCCTGCAAGAGAATAGCATAACATCATTCAGAATTCAACATATTTAACAACCAGCTCAGTCTCTCAATCAAAGAAAACATTGAAATTACCCATGAAGAAGCTTAGGTCTCGGAATCCCGTCACCAACAATCCCATCCAAAGGAGCAGAAATTAACCTGTCACTACTTTCCATTGTTGTTCGATATACAAATAAAAGAGCTGCTGCATACCCCAATTCCCACTCGACCGCAATTCATTATAATCCTCCCTACCAATCCGTTCCAATTTCCCTCAAAATCACAAACTAACACAAACACAAATAGAAAAAGAAACCCAGATCAGAATAACCTCTAAATAACAATCTTCACACAGTTAAATCACAAATTAGGCTTTGTATTTAACTGCAGTTGAATTGAATTGAAGTAAAATAGGGTTTCAAATTTGACACTATTCAAGAAAAAGAAAGACTGAGAATTTTGTAAAATTAATTAAATTCTTCAAACTCAAAACGTAGACCATCGCAAAGTGAAAAATTTTCAAATTTTCAAATCATTTAAATTCCACCAAACCGTCCAAACTCGAATGAAACTGAAATCCAATTCCACCATCAGTAAAATTAATTTCTTGAAATTGAAAAAAAAAAAAGAAAAACCAAAAACATGATCTAGGTGACAAATTTTCAATCTCTTTATCATTCAAATTTCAATCAAAACTCAAAATCGAATCAAAATGGCACAAATTTTAAGAAAAAAGTACCTTAATTATATTTAAATATCAAAATAAAATAGAGACCTTAAATGTTTCAAACTAAAAAAGAAAAGGGTCAAGGGCTTACCAAACTGAGCTTCGAAACTAGGAAAGAAGAGAAATCAGAACACGAGAGAGACGATGAGGCGATTAAAACGGTGCGCATTTGCAGATCCAAGTGAGGTTTAGAGAGACTTTAGAGAAAGGGAGAGATCTGCAAATGCGTTTCTAGAACAAGAAAGAAGAGAGATCGAAACGGTCGAGAGGAAGAGTGAGAGAAAGCTGTCTTTCCTCTATTCATTTCAAAATTAAAGGGGCGGACTTCGGAGTTTATTCAAACCCTATGGGTGTTAAATGTCGAGCAACTTTTTGAATTCGTTAACGGTTAGGATTTTCCCACCTTCGAATTCTAGCCGTCGATTTCTTGGACTTCCTTGGCTTGGTTTTTCAAAAACCAAACGGCTAATTTTTTATTTTTTCTTCTTTTTGGTTTCTTTTTTATTGAATATTAAATTAGCCGTCGATTTCTTGGACTTCCTCTGTCGTTTTGCTGCTATTTTTTTTTAAATTAAATTACCATCACTAGTGAATAAAACAAAGAAATAGCAAAGAAGAGTTGTTGTACAAAACTTTTAATACATAGAATACTTCGATTGGTAAAACAAATATTCAAATCTGGGATTATTATTATTTTTGGCTAGTAACTTTTTCCTTTTCTTTATATGGCCAAGACAAACAAGATTCTAATTAAATTATAAAACTTTACTTTGATATATTTTTAAATAAAATACAGTCATTTTGCGTTGGCCGATTGCACGTGTTACACTGGTTAATTTTTTATTGGTTAACACTGCGATTCATGAATGAATAAAATCTTTCTCGGATTTACATTTATTAGTTACTGGGATTTTGTTGTTGTAATCCAATTAATAGACATTGGATTGTTATTCTACATGCAATTTTAATTTTCCGTCATCTTTTTACGTTGAAATTTTGTTAAAAATGCCAAAATTTGTTTCCTCTTTCACTTTCTTTCTTTCTTGTTCATTTGTTTATTTTTTAAAATACACCGACATTAATGGTTACCAATATAATAATAAAAAAAAAAGAGAGAAAGAAAAACCAATAAATGGAATACTTCAATTGGCAAAACATTCAAATTTGTAATGATTGTGTTTTAGCAAATTTTTTTTTTTTTTGACCTAAGTATTTTCATTGCACATTATTATTTCTTGGCTTTTTTTTTTTTTACTCTTCTTTAATTGGCAAGGAAAAATTATAACTAAATTTTAAATTTTATTTTTGGTATATTTAAATAAATATTGTTGTTCCAACGCTGATTGCATGTCTAACATTCGTTGATTTTTTATTAGTAAACTGTGTAATTAATGAATAAGTAAAATCTTTTTTCATGTTTACATGTATTAGTTATTGAGATTTTGGTGTTGTAATCCATTCAAAGAAATATTGGATTGTTATCTTATGTGCAATTTTATCTATCATCATTTTGTTAGGTTCAAATTAGTTATTTTTTTTATTCACACTATGCTGCATGATTAGATAAAACAGATAAAATCATTTGAAAAAAATTATTTTGACTTGATGGTCTATTCTATGTTGTGAGTTCACAAAAATATATGACATCAAAAATTAAAAAAAAATTATTATTTATAAATTTTTAATCAAAATTTATATTTAACTATTTTGTCTTTGTGTTTTTCACAATTTTTCTACTAAAAAAAATGATTTATTGGAAGGTTACGCCAAATCATAATTTCAATTATTTAATTTGAAAAAAATTGATTTTAAAATAGCAATAAATAATAAATACTTAGTGTTGTGGTAGTTGCGCAGTTAATGTCTAAAAAAAAACAACGATTCAATAATTTTTTTATAATCATAACTATATTGAGTGGATTCAAAACTTACAGATTAAAAAAAAACACTATAAAAAATACTAACTTATAAAGAATATATTGAATAAATTTGAAGTTAATAAACTAAAATAAAAATTATTACAAAATTAATTTCAAAAAATTTTGATTATGTAAAGAAGAAGAAAATAAAACACGTGAATTTCTTCTTCTTCTTCTTTTCTTCTTAGATAATTTTTATTTCTAAGCCATAAATGGCTGGTCCTTGTGCATAGATCTCACACGCGAGTAATTATCTCTTTTTTTTTTCTCACATTCGACTTTTAATTATTTTGAAGATAATTTTTTTTCTAAAAAATCAAGAAAAATTATTTGATATACAATCAAATAACTTTTAATTTAAGAAGTGTATTTCGAATATATATATATATATATTATGCTACTATAATTTAAAAAATCTAAGAATCAATCATATAAATTATATAAATCTATTTTTTAAAAAAAATCATGTTCTAAAAACTTATGCAAAAATCCATAAATAGAGGAAAAATAAATCAAAATTATCAATAAATATAATTTTAAATGAATTTGATGAAAATTTTCATAATAAATGACAAATTGAGGTAGTAAATTTTAAATAATAAGAATAACATAATTTGAAGTATATGTTCAATGTAAAATATATATATATATATATCATGTCGGGTTGTGTGAACAAAAATCAATAATAATAATAAAAGTCATTGAGAAACAAGAAACCCATTTTACTTTAGTTTGTTTTGTTAACAATGGCCATGACTCTTTGGAAGTGAGGTGGTTGTCACCTAGTATTAAAGAGAACTAAAAAATCTAAAAATAACACTAGTTCAAAGATTTTAGAGTAAGAAATTGGTTATGTTTCTAAAAAATATTAATCACTCAAAGACACCATTTTCAATAAAAGATACAACGTCTAGTTTAATCCTAAAAGTTTATCTCCAAAAAAATTCTAATTTTGCCAAATTATTTTTTAGTCAATTTCAAATTTTTATTTCCTAAGCCAAATTAATTTTTTTAGTTTTGTTTGTGGCATCATATTAAATCAATCATCGAATCTCGTACCTAGAGGTCTCGTCAATTCAATATCGGATCTAGTTTAAGTCTCGACATAATCAATATGTCGGAGAATGACCTAATTACTAAACTGTAATTGATTTAAATTAATTAATAACATTAGTCTCTATTAGATATGAGACTTCTTAATCTAGCATTTCCCTTTTTTTCTTTTCTTTTTTTATGTGTTTTTTGTCCTATCATTTTCCTTTTTCAATATTTTTTTTTTATATTTCTCAAGGTTAGTGGAGAATCATCATCGGTCCCTAAAAATAGGAGACTTGACGATTCTTCCATTTATTAATTACCTAATTTAACTATTGGTTATTTTATATTTAATATTAAAATAAATCTAAAAATTAAATTAATAGTATAGTAGTCTAAAATCTATTCACAAATTCTAGATTTAATTAATACTAAATGTTAAACTAAACATGAAATTTAATTATCGAAAGAAATTAAAGGCTAAACATTAAACTAAATAAATTGAAATTAATGGGTAAAAATAGTTCAAAAATTAAATCTAGACTAGGTATGAAAATAAGAGGCATGTATTACAATTTTAGACTTAATTTATCCATGAAAATAGCAAGAAAAAACCCCCAAAAAAAAAGTGAGGGAAAATGGGGTTATTATACCTTTAGGCCTATTGGGCTTTACGCCCGTAGGGGCAAGCTCGGTCGAACTAGACTAAGCCCCAACCCAATACTAAATAGCCCAAATCTCTCTTTTTTTCTTGGGTCGGGCTCCTTTTCTTTTCACTCGAGCTAGACTAAGCATAGTCTCACTCTCCTCCTTACAGAGTTAGGCTAAACCTAACCTAATCTCTTCTTCTCACGAGCTAGATTGGACTTAGCCCAATCTCTCCAACCAACCTAAACTAACCACAAAACTCGACCTAAAAATGCAAAATACCAATCAAGAGAAAACCTTAGGCCCTAAACATTTCAAACATGTTCCATTCTTTTCGTCCTTTAAGCCTAACTTCCTCCTTCTCCTGTTTCCATCATCTCTTATCTCCCTCTCTCTGTTCTTCATCCACTCGTGATTTTCACTTTGTCTATTTTTTTTTTTTTCGGGTGCTTATCTAGATGTGTTAATCACCGATGTGGTCATTTGACAAAAGGATAAAATGAGTAAGATGAATCAAGCAATGGCTAGCATTGTTAACCTAGGGGTTGTCATCCTTGGTTGTGAAGCTTTGAAGCCGACATCATTTAAATTGAAACAAGGAGAGTGAAGAGTGTTTATCTAGTGAGCTAGATCACATAAGAAAGTAGAGAAACTATTTGAGATCAAACCACAATCATGAAGATTATAGGTTTCACCCTCGGGATTGCCTTGCCTCTCTTCAAAAATTGATCTTTTCAAAACCTAAGTATGTTTCTGCTATATCCCAAAACTCTCTCTACAAACCTAGAAACAATCAAGTTCAAAAATCCTCTTTCCTCATAAAACTAGTTAGACCCTAATTCTTTCT